GAGAGAGAGAGAGAGAGAGAGAGAGAGAGAGAGAGAGAGAGAGAGAGAGAGCATCATCCTGGAGAACTGATCGGCACGATGAAAGAGAGCTAAAGATAGAAATAGATGGATAAATAGATAGAGAGACAGAGAGAGATAGAGAGAGACAGAAAGAGATCGAGAGATCGAGATCGATATCGAGATCGAGAGAGAGAGACGATCGCAGGCGAGATCCGTGGGGGTTTCTAGAGGGATGCAGTCCCGTCAGTTGATTGTCGGTGAGTCTGACCATGGTTTGGCTGAGCCAGACCATGGTTGTCCATCGGATTCAATTTGGTTGAACCTACCGATCGACATGGTCGCGGTCATCTTCAGCTTCCTTCCTGTTCGAGATAGGTTTCGTTCGGGGAGCGTGTGCCGTAAATGGCGCCAGGCTTATTTACATCCTGCCTGTTGGAGACAAGCCGATCTGTCGGACGTGGGAAAGGAGATGGATTGTGAGAAAATAGCTATGGCGGTCATTCTGCTTAGCCGAGGTCAGCTGAGGAGTCTCTCCCTGCGATACTGCAACGACAGCTTGTTCGAGCTCATCGGGAAGCATTGTCCTCTGCTTGAGCAAATCAGGATTGCTAAAAGCCATCTCCTGAGGGGTGTGTACAGCCCCGATCCACCGTCGATCTCGGTGATCAAAGCGTTTGTGGACGGCTGTCCTCGGCTTCGATCGCTTGATTTGAAAATCGATCTGAGGGTAGAGAAGAAACAGCTCTCCGAATTTGTGAGGACTCTCGTGTCTGGGTTTCGAGACTTAGTGGCTCTGCACCTGGACGTAGAGTCCGTTGTATTCGTAGGAGAGGGACAGGGTCAGGGTCAGGGACTGCCACAAGTGTTGTGCTCGTACTTGTATATTGACGTGGCGGATATAAGACTCATTGTCGCCAACTTACCTAATTTGGAAGTCCTGGGGCTCAGACGAGCTGTGGTAACGGATGCTGGACTCGAACTGATTGGGAAAGGACTGCCCCGCCTGCGATGTCTGACTCTGCACGGTTGCTTCCCGCTGACGTGGCAGGCCGTGAATGCGCTGATGTCCGCTCGCAGGGACATTCGTGTCGCCGCTGAGGGAAGTATAAGATTCCCAGGAATCTGATGATGTACCAGTCTTTTTTTTTTTTTTTTTTTTTGAAGGACAGTCTTTTTCTTGTTTTTTTCTTGCTTTTCTCCTGTTTTTGTTTTCTGCTTTTCTCTTGTGTTTTTTTTTCCTGTTTCCTTTTTTTTCCTTTTGAGGAGAGGGGGGCGGGGGGGGTGAAGAGGGGGTTGGATGTAGAGAATCAGGGTACGTAAGGAGTCGACTACAGAATTCCATCTTCAGAATGGGAGAGGGCAGAGATGGCCGTCTCCGAGTTTTCTCTCTTTTTGTTTTTTTTGTTTTGTTTTGTTTTTTAAGAGATGGAAACTTGGAAAGTAAGGATACTAGTAAGTGGTGAGGACAGCAGGGAGAATTCGGAGGAGGAGGAGACGCACAAGAGTTTGATGTTGTAGTATGATCTTTTTTCTTTTTTTTTTTTCTGTTTTTTTTTTCTCCTGTCGTTTGGTGTTGAAAATCAAGGGTATGACACTCTAGCATAGCTTAGTTGGTACACCGCTGAGCTGCTGAAATACAACCCCGAGTTCGAACTCCACTGGAAGCAGAGGGGTAAAATACAAATACTACAATTCTGAATTACCTAGAGGCAAGTGCCGGCTCGATGTTGATACCTTAAGACCGTCGCCCTTCTAAGAAAAAAAAACAAAAAGCAAGGGTATGCTAAATAAATAAATGAAGTATCATCAAGGGTATGCTAGTAGTCTACTACGGACTTCCATCTTCGTCATGCAAGAGGGCAGAGATGATCCTCTCTGGAGAGAGAGAGAGAGAGAGAGAGAGAGAGAGAGAGAGAGAGAGAGAGAGAGAGAACACTGTCGGCGTCTGTGTGTGTGTGTGTGTGTGTGTGTGTGTGAGAGAGAGAGAGAGAGAGAGAGAGAGAGAGAGAGAGAGGAGAGAGAACACTCTCGGCGTCTGTAGGGGGTTTCGAGGAGGAACACTTTCGACGAAGCGGCTTTTTTTTTTTTTTTTTTYTTTTGAAGAACGAAGACGCTGTGTTTTCCCTGGCGAACCATCTTGTTCCCCGTGATCCTCTCTCTCTCTCTCTCTCTCTCTCTCTCTGTGTTTTCTTTTTTTCGTCTTTCTGTTATGAAAAGCCCCCATTTATGCTGGCCTTTAGGTGATTGGAAGGGAAGACTGCGCCATTTGGCATCTGCACGTAGTACATATATAGATCTGATTCCATCTCTCACCTCACCAGGGTTTGAACTTTGAATTCCCTTGCAATAATGTTGGATGAAAGAAGGATATCAAAACGAGAAAAAGAATAAAAAAAAGAAGTTCGAAAAAATGTGTTATAGCCAAAACTCCAAATGGAAAAACTCCAAATGGAATAATGACCACGACGCGTTTTGCACAACATTCTAAATGTATCCGTACCCGTATCTGGACCTCTGTGACGGTCCTAATACTCACATTCAAAATGTTCAATTAGTTTCAATTAGTTCGATCGAATTAGTTCGATCGAATGCGTCCGCTCGCAAGCTGTCCATGTCCATGTACATGTCGAATGTTCAGTAGTGTAGTGAGGCCCTAAAATAAATAAAAATGGGTGAGAACCCTTTTAGAGTATTCGATAAATACGCGATGAGGAAAGGGATGAGGTGAAGGGGGCTCTTTGAGTGAGGAAAGGGATGATGAGGTGAAGGGGGCTCTTTGAGTGCTTCGCCGCATGGCAGTTCTGCCCGCCCGAGGCAATAGGAAGTTGCGAGTGGAAACGTGAATACCAGGAGCGGACTGTTTTCTGCAGTTCAACCACGCTCAAATTCGTATCACGTCGAAACGGAGGAACCGCACGGACCTATCATCACTCAACCATGGTGCGCAGGGCGTTGCTTATCGGCGCTAGCTATGTCGACAGCACTCATCTGCCTACTCTGCGTGGAGCGGTTAACGATGTCGTGCAGGCGAAGATAACGCTCACGACGGTGTATGGATTTGCAGAGGCGGACGTGTGCGTGCTGGCCGATGGACAAGTGGATGCGAGCTGCGCTAAGGCTTGCACAACGCCGCCTACGAAAGCTTGCATCCTGGCGGCGCTTGATTGGTTGGTAAAGGGTGCGTGCGCGGGTGATGTGCTGTTCTTCCACTTCTCGGGATATGGTACGCGTGTTCTCTCGGCATCGTCGTGCGACTCTCTCGAGGAGGCTCTCCTTCCGTGCGACGCTACAGTGTCGGATGTGTGCGGTTTCGGAAACGTTGTCGAGCACAGTGTGTTCAGCGCCAAATTCGCCTGCATCCCCAAGGGTGCGACGGTGGTTCAAGTGTTTGATACAGCCTTCAAAGGTGCCGACGAGTACGCCCTCGCGGGTCAGTATCATCAACCCTACTCTGATGCCGTCCCTTGTGTGTTAATTTTAGACTCCTTATCACTTCATTTCCTCCCTCTCTCTCTTTTCCTCTTTCTCGCCGTCATTGATTGTTTTGCAAGCGCTCCTCGTTCTGCCACTGTCTCGCTCTTTCTCTTTTTCAGTCTGTCGCTCTCTCTGCGCACTCTCTTCCTCTCTCTGGATTTATTGTTAGTTGCATTTGTTACACACACTCGTTGATTGTTTTGCAAGCGTTCTTCGTTCTCCAACTTCTCCCGTTCTCTCTCCGGCTGTCACTTACCCTTGTGCTTCCTTTTTCGCTCTCCTCGTCTTTCTCTCCGTCTCTCCCGTTCTCGTGAATGCGATTTTGATATGTCATTGCACTTGACCCTTAGATAGTTTTTTTTGCCGGAGATGCAAAGCAGATTTGATTGGGGAAATAAGGACACTGGCCAATCGCTTGATTGTTTGGACAAATTTGTAGGATGTGTCAGGCTCCGATTGCTGGTAGCATTCCGCCGGGAAAATCGGAGTCGCCAATTGGTTGCGTACGCATCGCGCACGACCGTAAACCCTTATTCGCCTTTTGTGACTTGTGAGACCATAACAATGTTTCGTCTGGCTCTCGTTTCGAGGTGTAAAGTGAGTGTGAATTAGTTTGGCATCTGTCTTTTGTTTGCTGAAAAGAGGTCATCAATGCTGGACGGCGGTCCTCAGATCGATCTTCATTCAGGTCTGTTTCTGCTCCTCTGGAAGGATTTCAGTCAATCCCTGGATTTCGCCGTCTTCATTCAGGTCTGTTTCTGCTCCTCTGGAAGGATTTCAGTCAATCCCTGGATTTCGCCCAGCGTAAGTAATGCTGCCTTTCTCACGCTGTCCTCACACTAGGACTTTTTTTCACTTCTATCTGGACGTAATTGCGGTCATGTACGTCCAGGAAAGTTTCCCAGCACGGGATGGTCCCCTCCAACACATCGGAGCCTTATGTAGTTGAAAATCTATGGACGCGATGATTTTGACGAAAATCTGGGATAGAAGTATTACAGTGATGAAATTTTCCAGGATAGAATTATTAGAACAGATGACCTTTTTCCAGGATAGAACTCGGTATCATTGGAATAGATGATTTAGTCGTGTGATTTTCGGCCTCTCTCGGGCACTGGTTAAATGCGGGAAGACGAACCGATTTGCTTTTCATATTAGGGAAAAAAGAGCAAATGCATCGTGAATCCTCGTGACCTGATTCCGGTCAGTTGTGTAACGTGAATTCCCCTTACCTGATTCCCGTCAGTTGCTGGGTCTCTGCACCAGTCGAGGCTCAGTGGGGTAGGGTCCAGTAAATGACCGTAATCCACGTGGTCGTTTCTCTTTTCCTTTTCAGCCTTTTTTCGTTTTTTTTTTCCGTTTCAGTTTTGTGTGGAGTTTTGCGTGAAAGATCTAGTTCGTTAGTACGACAGAGGTGGAAGACACCTAAAAACTAAATACGTTACATTTCTGGATTTATCGGTGTCGTCTTTGCGCATGGGCCATGCTATGCTCCGGTGCTGTCCTGTGCTGTCGTTTATGCAGTGAGGGCGCCAGATGCCTCTCACTTGCGATGCATGCACTCCGTCTGACCCAGTGGATCACCACTGTGCAAACTACTCCTTGCCCTTTCCCCTTTCTCGTAGCCCTCCTTACCGCTCCCACATGTTCGTCCCTGCCGCACACAGACGCTGCAGTGTATCTTCTCTGTAATCGCTCCATTCGACATTCATTGCGATCGGGAAAACTGAGCGGTTTTGTTTTCACCTTCTTTGGCTTGTTGTCCCTCTTTGGCGGTGCTTATCCAACTATAACAGGCGTGAAGCACTCTGTCCTTTGCCACGGTTTGTCGACGAAGGTGGTCTCCGCTAGAGGTCTGGATAACGTGGCATCGCTGACGGCGTGCAGGAGACTGAATGCCGAAGGTCGTTTCACATACGTGCAATTCCCTCTCTCGGATGCGTGCAATGCTTTGTACTACGACGTCCCCTCTGCTTGGCTTGCCTGTGCAGAGGAAGAAACCACCTGGGACGTGGTTGTCGACTGCAAGCCGGCGGGTATTTTCAGCCATCACCTGTACAGCACTGTGGTCAGGCAACACGAGAACGAGCTCCAGAGCCAGAACGTTTGCATTCTTAACTCAGTGATGTACGCGCTCTGCGCCAGAGGCTTCAAGCACAAGCCGGAGTACGTTGCTGCGGAGGACTCGAAGAAGTTGGCTACTTTCCTTCCTCCTGCGCCTGAGAAGAAGTTCCCTCCCAGTTTGACGAAGTTGCAGGAATTGGCCATTGCCTGTTTGAAGGAGGAAGCGCTGTGCAAGACTGACGAGGCGTTGATTGAGCAGCTGGCGACGCGTTTGGCTCTACCATCACGATGGTTGAGCGTCAGTGTTTGAGCGAGCGCCTTGTGTCCTTGGTGAACGCAAGAGGCCATTGGATCTTGCGCCAGATGTTGGACCTGTGCACTTCTGTCGTTCCTTCGTGCCCTCCGTGCATCCCCGAGCTCGATTCCAGGCAGCTGTACTTCATCACTATGGTTGTCAGCCACGCCAAGTCCGCAGTCGCCGCCTCCAGAATCGAGGAGCTCGCAAGGCGGCTTGCGCGATGTCATGGCCTCACGTTGGCCGAACAGCAGGCCATCGTGGACGAGCTGACGTGTCTGATTGGGGAGGATGGATGGGCGCTCTTGCGACTGTTGTTTGCAGCCGAGCCCCCGACCGATCTGAAGTTTCTGGAGAAGAAGACGGAATGCCGTCCTCCATGCCTTCCTCTATGCCGCCCTGCATGCCCTCCTGCGGATTGCAATGCGCATCTGCGAAAGCTCATCTCCTTCATGGGAGTCGAGGGATACGAGATCGGTCTGAAATTCAAGAATGAGTATGCGTGCCTGTCCATCGAGGAGCGCAAGCGCCACTACAAGACGCTCTATGTAAAGGGCGGCATGGAGGCAGTGACGACGGCGGCCGCCATAGCTGGCGACGCCTGCTACATTGATGTTCTTGCCGCGGCAGTGGGCGAGCATGTCCGCTGCACCGCTGTGTCCACCGCTTGCTGCCCGCCTCTCTCCTCTTTCTACTCCACCCTCTCTGCTTCTCTAAAATGTCAGCTCTTGCAATCTGTTGTCTGTGCTGCCGGGTCTCGCGGGCACGAGATCGCGGTTCGCCTGGCGGACTGTACAAAGCTCCTTGGGRACTCCGAGAAGAAGAGTTTGTATGCCGAAMTGGTGAAGCTCGGCGGAGTGTCTGCGCTTGCCGCCGGCGCACGTCTCGCTGCTGATGTCACCATTCTCAAGACTGTGGTGGCCGCCGGAGAGCGCGTCCGCCTCGTTCGATSCGAGCCGCCGGTGGAGTTTTGTGCGCGAAGGGAGGCCAGGAGACAGAGGGAGAAGCAATTGCTCAAGGAGGTGATTGTGATTGCTGGCTGTGCGGGTTACGAGTTTTCTGTCCAGCTGATGCAAGAGGGGTTGACGGTGGCGTGCCGGAAAGATATATATTCGAAGCTGTTCGCCGAGGGAGGCGTTGAGGCTGTCGCCATAGCCGCCCTCGTTTCCGAGGACGAGACTGTGAAGGGCGAGTTGGAGAAGGCAGGTGTGGAGCACGCGGCGTTTGTCCAATGTCCGGCTGCCGTGTCTTCCATCAGTCTGCTGTTCCTCCCACGCAGTGCGAATGTGAGTACCTGCTGAGTACGGAAGACAGGCGAGTTGGCAGCGCGCTTTGCAACATTGCTCGGAAAGAAAGCTCGGTATGAGAAGGCCCGGAAGAGGCATGTTGCGCAGATCGTCTCCCACTTGCGAGGGACTCGAACTTGTCCAGAGCCTCTGCTGCTATGCCTAGGGTGTCGCCTTTCTGAAGGTACCGGGAACTACGTTGGGACAAGAAAATGGAAAGCCCACATTTCGGAATGCGGGATGTAGATAGATGGACGTCTGCATGCAGCAGGCATGTTCGTGGGCTTGTTATTTTTTTTTTTTTGGTCGTTGTGTGTGTGTGTGTGTGTGTCTGTGTGTGTGTGTGTGTGTGTGTGTGTGTGTGTGTGNNGAGAGAGAGAGAGAGAGAGAGAGAGAGAGAGAGAGAGAGAGAGAGAGTATGATTAATAATGATTACAATCTCTTTGATTCCGCAGCGCTTTCATGGCAACTTCTCGTTCTGTTTGAATAAAGATTACTGTTCCGCTTCGTCGATGACAAACCTTTCGTAATCACCTCAGTTAGCAATGGCAAAGTCGAGTGTGCCTGGTGTAGGAAGCGAGTGTTGGGGGCTGCGATGATGAAGGCGTATGATGTATCTGGTAACTGAATGGTTCTCTTGGGACAGGCTTTGTGTGCATGGGAAGGGACGGAAGATTGGCGATAAGAGAAGTAGAGGAAATGATATGAAGATGGGAAGTTGATTCTATTCTATAGTCTTAAAGAAGGCTTACACACATGTTTCCAATTATGAATGATCATGCCTGCGATGCGACATGTCGCTGAACTTGTTCACTTCTGAATTGACTGCGTGGATCGCCTTTCTATTTGTGTTTTGCCCACTATGCATTTTTACAATTTCCAGGTGAGGTCCTATGGCCCTCAAGATGGGGGTTAGATTTGCACAAGGAAATGGATTGTCCGCCCTCAAGATGCATCGATCTGCTGTGATGATGGTGGGAAATCTCTGCGGATTGTACCGGTTTGCATTGCTTGCAAATCTCTTTCTGGTCGCGAGATCTTCGTGGGGTGGGGGTACTTCTCGGCACTACCGTTTTCACGCGGATAGATCGCGGGGTCGTAGTCCCCTGTATCGAGAGCGAAAATTGACCACATGCAGCTAGAATGACCGGGCGTTCTCCCGCGGGTAAATGCGGTAGTCGTTGCAATGACGCCGAATGAAGAAGAGACTGTAACCGTGCAGCCTTTGCCCATCATGATGGTGAAAATCTACCAGCACCAACGCGCCTACGTTCTTCCCCCAAATACAAGGTACGGTCCTTGTAGCCGTATTTCGACACGTACGTCGTATTCGGTGAAAGAAGATAGCTCCGTTGTTACAACCCTTGGGTGTTGAAATACAGACCCAGGTTCAGCATCATATCGAACTAGATGGATGAAGTAGTACAATTCTGAACTAGAAGGAAGATCCACTAGCAACAGGATCAGCTTAAATCGAGTGTGGAATTCGTGCATACAGCCCACGCGAAAAACCTCTCGGGAAAAAAAAAAACAAAAACAAAAAAAAACACCCTCTCTGGTCATCATCGCGAGATGGAGGGGCATTTATTATGCCATGCGCGCATTGCGCGGCACTGTTTTCTCTGTTTTCTCGCAAGCGCACGATCGTCATCGCTGTATCTAGACTGCAGTTTGCCCAAATACAGCGTCAACGGCCGTTCATTTTGTTCGGAGAAAGACGGTGGACTCTCTGATCGCATGGCAGCACTGTGTCCTTGAGGGCGAAATCCCGCGTAAAAAGAGCATGGAATAGCGTGGAATTTATGAACTACCGACAGGCCTATCTCAGTTGGTACACCCATGACCTGGTGAAGTACAAACGCAGGTTCAAATCTGGATGAATGACGTAAAACGTTTCTGAGATACCCGGTGCAAGTAAATTTGAAAATGATAAATCAAGGCTGTCACCCTCTTTTTTTTTTTTTCTTAACTGATCAGATCATCAGAACAGATACTACAGTTGATCTTAGCCAAAAGGTCGGAAAAGGTATTGCTGTCACCCTTTATTAAGGGACCAAAAAAAAGAAACAAAAAAAAAAAAGAACAAACTGAATGGGTCGGAGCTATATACTTTATTAGAACAAAAAAATACAAATTATTACACCAAATTACGAGTGGATGGAATCCATGGGGCGGATTCCGCAGGAGAAGGAATTGCACTCTTAGGGTCAGATCTCACTGGCAAAGAGGATTGTAAGAAGTGCCTGAATCTGGACGTGTTCCACGCAGAGGTGCAGAAAAGTAGATCAATCACAATTTTTCGCACCTCTCGACAAATACGTCCACATTCAGACACTTTCTACACCCCTCTTTGCCAGTGTGATCTCGCCCTTATGAACGAACTTTATTTAGGGACCAAGTCTTGATTATGTATCTTTGAAGCTACTGGTGAGCCTCCCCACACTACTCCCTACTTGCAGTGGCCATTTTCGGGAGTGCAGCATCGCCACACCAGCTCCCGAGTTCAACTTGGGCCTCGCTGCACTACTCTTGAAAGGTGCAAAACGAGAGTGAATCTTACGCTAGAGCATGGAAAGATACAGCGACATGATTTTTGTCTTTTGCGAGAGTAGTGGAGCGAGGCCCCTTGTCAGATTGAATTCGGGAGCTGTCAGAATGTGGCTCCCGAGAGCACTCCCGAACTCACCGCCTGCAAAGCTTTTTTTTTTTTTTTCATTTCCCGGAGGAGAGGAGGGCTGCGCCACACTCTGCTGCAGTGCAATACAGAGGCAACGCAGGAAGCGTCGAGCATGCAAGCCTACCCATATGACCCCTCCGTAGCCCAGAAAAAAAAAATTAACATCGTAGTGGCCCGATGGAGCACGGATCAGATATTAAACTGATCAGAACAGATACTACGCTTGATCTTAGCCAAAAGGCCGAGAAAGGTATGAAAGCTTTTTTTTCGAGAGACCTCCTTCGCTCCTCCGAGTTTCATCCCCGAATCGGGAGTGGAGCCGGACCGGACAAACGACTTCTGCCAGACTGCTTCACGCTGATTGTGTCCATATCTGGCAAATGGCATATTCAGACTTTGAGCGCGGCCGGGTCGAGAGTGTAGTGTGGCGAAAGGCACTCCCGAGAGGGTTTCACTTCCGGGAGCACTCCCGAAAGTTTTCCCAAGTCGAGAGTGGTGTTATTGCGAGAATTTATAAAACCTCCGTGCCACGAATCCTTTATTCATGGACAAAGGTTTAGTCGCGGGGAGGTTCACTTTTTCCCTAACTTAGGGCCTCGCCACACCACGGTCGAAGCGAGAAAAGACCGAATGCATCTTCCTCAGAAAGAGGTAAGATGCATCCTTTGCGAGTTTCAGTAATGGATGCATTTTGCCACTCTTTGCGTGAAGACGCACTCGTTCTTTTTTCGTTTCGACAGTGGTGTGGCTGGGCCCTTATCCGACAAAGTGTCCGCGAATCATCAGTGTTGTTTATGTCCGTGTAAACACAAGCGCGACAGTAGTTCTCTGTCAAACAATTGTTTGGTCTCTGTCTGAACTTGATGGCTCATTCCACACTCTTCCTTTCGGGCATTTTTTTTTTCCTAAACAGTCTCACCCACATTCATTACTAAATAGAAAAATTTTGAGGCCGGGGACCTCAACCGGGCTTTCGGGCATTTCATCACACTATCAACGTTTTTCATTTCTTTTGAATTTCATTAAAGTTGTATATGGTCTTTTTTTGTCGGCATGTGTGATCGGCCAGGCACTCATTCTCCACGTACGTCTTCCGGAAAAGAAGTTATAAAACCTTCCGACGACGAGGCCTTCGTATTCATTTCACCCCCTAACGGGGTAAGAAGTGCCGCAGGCCCCAAAAATGACTTTTGGCGTCACAAGTTTCGACCTTGTAAAACATTTTTCGTCCTTCGGTACTTTGTGCCCCGTTGGGGGGTGGGAATGAATGCGAAGGTTTCCTCGCGGGTAGGTTCTGTGACATTCCCCTACTTGTTCGCTGCACGTATCTCATTCCACGGTGGTCTGTTATTATGTGTTATACGGCACTTCTTCTCCTTCTTCTTCTTCTTCTTCTTCTTCTTTTCCTCTTTTTTTTTTTTTTTTTTTTTTTTTTTTTTTTTTTTTTTTCTTTTTTTTTTTTTCTTTTTTTTCTTTTTTTTTTTTTTTTCCTTCTTCTTCTTTTTTTTTTTTTTTTTTTTTTTTTTTTTTTTTTTTTTTTTGTCAAGCCCAGATTGTTGTAGAGGTGGGATACTCGACCAATGACAGTTATCAGATTGCTGTAGAGGTGGGATACTAGACCAATGAGAGTTATCCGCAGTACTCGGCCATTCGGTTATAAGAGACCGCAGAATCGTTTCACACTCGCATTTGTAGCCTGTGTGGTTCGCTTTTCACACAGTTGAACATGTAGTGTGAACTCCATTCGTTTTCTTGTTCTGTCCCCCTCACTGAATATGATGAGCTTTGTCATCGTCTTGGTCAGCATCTGTGATGACATCATATTTCTCGACGTGGTCATCCCATTTGAGGCAGCTGACGGTGTTTCATTAAGTGCGACATTCTCTGCAACGCAACTGTGGGTTCCTGACCAGACTTGCTGCCCCATTGAACCCCCTCCCTTTCGTTAATTTGAGCATGTTCTCCGATTCACTGTGTTCTTTAATTGACAATTTGAGAGGAGATATTATGCTACCTCCTCTTTGTTGGCTTCCTTGGAGAAGACCTTGCACCCACCCTGGTTCTCATCCATGTGCATCGAAATCAGGAGATGGCATAGACTGACAACTCAGACCACGCATGGAAGGAAGGAACCTTATGGCACCTTGGTTCTCATCCATGTGCATGGCAATCAGGAGATGGCATAGGACTTAAGTCCATCTGCCTAGAATGCAGAAACTGTTTGAAGACTATGGGGCACGGAAATAAGTACTAATAACTTATATATAAGGCTGTTGTTGACCATCATGGCCATTGCAGTGTAATAGAGAGGGGGTTGGCGGATTTCAGCCGCAAAATGCAGCAGCAAAGGTTGCACATTGGTGCTGCAGACGTCGTAGTTCATCTCTTTCATCGACTTTCAAGAGTATAAGGGATACAGTGGCCCCAGGACTGGTA